TCATTAGCACCCCACTTAGAGCATTACAGAGTGGAATGGGGCATGACAGGGCTTTAGTGGTTACACTGGGCTTATTCCCACCTTCTTTCGTTTTCCTCTCTAAAATAGATAACCTACTGCCACAACTGGGCTTTTTATGATCAATGATATCTGATAATAAGTAAATCAAATGCGACGGAAACTCACATTTAGGCTGAAAATAGCATAAAATGCAAAGGCAATAGCCTAAAATGCAAGGGGGAAATCACATTTAAGCTGAAAATAGCATAGCACTGTTCTGGTCTAGATGAAGCTCCATGTCACAATTTTGTGGCAACAGTAGGGTACTAGATATAATGAGAAAACAGTTATAATTCACTGCTTTACAGATGTTTTATGATGAGTGATCAAGAAATCTCCAAGAAACCCAATTCTTCTCATCAGAAACTTGTGTGTTCATAAACTATATTAGGATGAAAAACACCATATAATAACCCTGTGCCTGTTTAGCTTAAGACATATTTCAGCTGAATACTACAGAAACCTTGTGTAGCAGAAAAATGTTATACTAATGTCTAGGATCATACATGCAATGTACAGAGGTGTTGGGAAATGCATGTATAAATGCATCCACCTCTGGATTCTTTCTAATTTCTCCACATTTTTTTCAAAGCATCAGTCCAAAACTGAACATAGTATTTCAGGTGCTCTGATTTTAAAATAAGAGCACACTAGTCTATACCTTGGAGTGTCTACAACTCCACCCAACTTGATGTCATCCACAAATTTGTTAAACATGCACTTAATCTGATCCTCCAAACCATTAATAAAGATGTTAAACAATACCAGACCCAGTACAAACTCATTTGATATTTCCTCTCAACTAGACAATGAGCCACTGACAACTACTCACTGAGCATGAGATCAACCTTACAATGTTTTTGTCCTTAACTTGTTAAGGAGAACATAATGGGAGACAGTGTCAAAATCCTTGCTAAAATCAAGGTATATCAAACCCACTGTTTTCCCCCTAACTAAAAAACCTGTCATCTTATCATAGAAAAAAATTAAGTTGGTCAGGCATGACTTGCTCTTGGTGAATCCATGCTGGCTGTTCCTGATCAATTTGTTCTCCACCGGATCCTTTGAAACAGATTTCTGGAGGACCTGTTCCATGATCTTTCCAGATATCAAGTTCAGACTGGCTGGTCTGTAATTCCCTAAATCCTCCTTATTTTCTCTTACAAATAGCTACTTATCTCCCATTTATCCAGGACCTCATTTGACCTCCATGAGTTCTCAAAGATGAGCCAATGGCTCTGAAATTAGCTCAGCCTTTAGTACTATAGGGTCCATCCCATCCAGCCCAGCTAACTTAAAAGCATCTAGTTTACCCAAGTAATCCCAAGACTGTTCCTCCACTACATTAGGCTGTTTGCCTTCAACATTACCTTTGCTGCCAATTCTGCTTGTAGTTGACCCTATTTGTGAAAACTGAAGTAAAAAAGGATACTTCAGCCTTCTCTGTATCTTCCATAACTTCGTTGCTTTCTGAATTTGGTAAAAGCATCTATGGTTTCTTTGGTCTTCCTGTTATTTCTGACATATTTGTATAATTCCTTTCCCAGTTACATCTCAAATCGTGCCTTACCCTTCCTGATTTTCTCCCTTCATGCCTGTGCAGTACTTTCATACTGTTTCGCAGTAATATGATCAAGTTTCCACTTTTTAAGTTTCAACTCATTGAAGAGATCCTGGAGATGCACTTATGAGAGTAAGAATATGTTAAGTATTGACATTTTAAGGGCAAAGATTGCATTGTGAATCATCATACATTCAATATGGCTTTTTCTGATTGTTAGTTATTCTGTATTATATTTAAGACAGTTAAAATTTTGTGTTACTAATAAAGGTCACAATCTTGCACCTTTAAGGTCAATATAAGCTTGGCATTGATTCTGATGTAAGCAGCAGGACTTTATTTTCTTTGTAATTAGGAACAAAGATTGACTGTTGGTTTACACAGAAGGTCAGAGTACTCAAGTGCTACTAAAAATATTAAATACAAACAAATGGTACATATTGACCGGCAAAATTCACAAACCAGTCAAGCTTTCAGTTTGCTTTGAAACTAAAAAAAATCTTTAGCAAAAATACAACTTTATTTATAACTTATAGACAAGGACAGAGTAATTAGAGTCTGATGAAGGCAACCCCCCAAAAAATAATCAATGTTCTCTAGCACCTTTCACCTTCTCTAAGCACTTTCCAAACATGAATTAACCACACCTACCTCAAAAAGTAACTGTAATTATACTCATTTTTGCAGAAGTGCAACTGGAGGCAGGGATTCGATGACATGGTTAGGAACATAAAGCCAGGAGACCTGACACTCACTCTCCATTTCTCTAAAATGAGAAATTATTTTTTTTCCTACTGGAGAGGACACAAGTCAATACAGAAGATGAGATTATTATTCCATAAAAAAAAAAATGTTGTTTAGGCTGAAACAATAATTTAAGGTCTCATTTGGCAAAGCTGGTAGAGGGAGGCGTAAGTTCCAACAGAGGAAGCACCTTGCCAGCAAAAGCTCCTTGCACCCTCCAGGGACACTCTTCCAGGGAAACCAGGAAGCGTGGGATGTGGGACCTTGAATTCCAGTCAGAGTTTCATAGATTGTATACCAGTGAGAGAGTTTCCAGAGAACCAGTGGGTTCCTCAGTTGTAATCACCATATGCCTTTTTTAACACCACCAATATTTGTTGCTGTTGCACTGAGCCTTTGTCATATTCCTACAAATGAGGTTGTGGTCCTCTCATTGCCTGTTATCGGGGTTCCTGGCTAAGGTTTTATCATTGGTGACCTATACCCTCCAGCACAAAGTGGAACAAACCCTCAGCAAATTTTGCCCATAGCAGGCTGGACCAGCACCTCAGACAACAACACCATACGACTTTGTTGACAAGTTCTAACCATATGGCCAAGACCTGTCTATGGAAGAAACCAATACATTAGAACCTAAAAGCATAATAATAGGATGAATGAACATAAATTTACATGGTTTTATAAAGGAAAGAGCATACCACAAAATACTGCCTTTAGAAAGTGAGCAAAATTAAAAAGTCAATGGACAATGGGGATGCATTAGATTGACATTTGTAGTAACATTGTTTAGGAGTTCATGGGTAAGAAAATTTTTCCAGAGAGTTTTACAGATTTGCTCAGGTACAGGAAACTCAAATGTTTTCCTTAAGACTCTACTTACTGTTACTTTATAGATACAGTTTTGTTTTCATTTAATTTATCTTGTATTTAACTAGTCTTTAATGAGACTTTTGGTGTCTTACTGCCTGGGAAATTATTACTGACATTGGAAATATGGTGCTTGGTTAGGAACATTGTACTGAAGATACTCAGTTGCCAGACATATTGTAAACAGAGCTTAATTACTGTATTTACAGTTGAACATCAAACTGGGAAGAGGTGCCAAGTGGCATTCTACAGAAGTTAATATTGGGACTGATACCACTTAATATCTTCCTTAACAATTTGGAAAAGGAAGTAAATTGTACATTGATTGAACATACAGTAGACACAAGATTAAGATGAACTGCAACACAGCAGGTGGGGAGGTTGAAAAAACAGAAAGATTGGAGATATAAGAGAGAAGGGCGTATTTAAGTGGGATGCAATTTAATGTAGATAAATGTAGAATAATAAGCTTGGGGAAATTAACACCCAGCTCAAGCATTCAAATGGGAAAATGCCAATTTTCATTTAAAAAAATTTCAATAGATTTCACAGTTTATTCACACTGAGAATTCACATTGGGGTATATGCATCAGGTCTGACAACTTGTTTGCTACATTCCAGCCTGATGTGATTGTAAAAAAGGAAGAAAAACAGATTCCCCCCAAAACCTACCTTTTAAAATTCAATGTATTTTCTTTAAAATGTATATATTCTGCTCATGAAATCTACCAAAAAGTTGTAAGCTTCCACACACACATTCAGCAGCATGACATGTAGAGGGATCACTTGAAGAGGTGAGGTGGAAGTTCAGATGGCAACATAGTTCAGGGCCTTGTCACATACTCACTTGCAATGATTGCAAATCACTGGCATATTGTGACATCTTAAAGTTAGTTTGTGTTAGGAAAGAACCCTTACCTGAAAGGAGATAACACTGCAATGTCACAAATCTGCCTGCTTGCATTTTAACTGCACTTGGCAAGTGTTAAATTGAAAGTGTACCAATAACTGCCCCAATTGCTAACTACTGTTTCTCCCTTGGCTGATATAGTTGGAGCCAGTGCTTTGGAAGCCACTGGACCACAGTTCTGCTTCTGCCACGGTCAAAAACTTTCAAGCGGCAGCATAGTGGAAGCTGGCACATGCAGCACAGTGAATCTGGAAAGGATTATTTGGCTATTGATTTCTTTTGGGAAACGCTCATTTTATTCCAGAAGCTAGCTAGCCTTTTGATGAAAGCTATGAATCTATAAAGGAAAAAACCACGTAGAAGGCTAGCAGGTCATCCTAAACTAAACTAAGAACAATAAAAACCCCACACCACAAAAACTGAAATCATCGCTCTATCAACTATATAATGTAGAACTGAACATGCAGAACACTGAATTTTAGATATCCACAGGACTGAAACTCTCAAGAATATATTGTCCACTAAAATTAAGTTGTAGATATATATAACATATTAGATTGTAGAAAAGTGTTTCTGTGTACCAAGTTAAAGCTTCATAAGTTATTTTAATGGATCACTCTTGAGTAAGTGAAGAACACACAATCTTGTCCTATTGTTATGCATTTAATGATCCACACTCAAACACAGTCAGACATTTTGCCACACAGAAGATTAGCTACAAAATAAGAAAAAAAGTTTATAAAAGTGAATACAATTTGGTTAGGAATATAATAATCCAGTTAAGGCTGACAGGTATGAAATAGCTGATGCAACAGCAATCAATGCTATTTTGTTTATTTATGTTAAAGGGCTGCTTACCAAGGGGAGCCATATATTCTGAATCCCCTCACTGTCACTTCAGAGTCCTGAAGATAGATGCAATTTGTTAGAAGAGACTGTACATTTTCATAGCTCTCTGGCTTCAGCTTAGATACAGATGGGAAGTAGTAAAAGTCCTGCTTGATTAAGTCTGCCATGAACTCTTGGTCAAAGGTCAGTTCATGATTTCCTGCTATTACAATCTTGTATTCATATGGAAGGCTACCTAAAATAATGAAAAACAACAAATCTTAGTTATCTGTCAGTTTCAGATACAAAAAAGAAACTCATAAGAGTACTGTACTATATAACCTCTTGTGCATTTAAAAGACTGAGATCCATAACTGTAGCCCTCACTGCCTTAATTGGGTATGACATTCATGCCTCCAAGGTCAGAAGTTGATTCTTCACTTGCATAGGATCACATGGGGTGATCTCACATTAATTTTTAACCTTAAAACAGACAGGTCTTCAGTAAAATGTATTTGGTATTCCTTACAGGTACGATTTATCAAGAGGACAGGGTTTAAAAGGCATTGGGCACAACTCTTGATAATCAACACCAGTTCTTTTATGGTGGCATTCTATACTTTCCTGGTCATCTACAGGGCATTATTGGTACTTACATAGACAGAGATAGTCTATTCTTGGGCACACAGACCTGCAGACATGGGTGACTATGTTTGTGCCCACTGGCAGTTGGGGAACTCTCAACTTTCCCTACAAATAGCTGAGTGCCAAGGGCACTCACCTAGGAAGCCGCAGGGCATGGGTTCTGAGTTCCCATTCACTCTGAGGGTTTGAACTGGGTCTCTCAAACTTCCTAGCACAGCATTCTAACCACCACTCCACAGGTCATAAGAACATTTTTCTAGCCCCTCCTTTTGAAGCTGACAAGAGGGAGATCTGTGGGAGATATGTGGTGCAGAAGGAAGGGAATATGCCAGAAGATGCGTGGTTCAGTGGAGTGGCTACTGATTTGGAATGAAGACACCTGGTGTTCTAGCCAGGGCCATTGCCCCCAATGAAGCAAAAGCTGCTTCCCTTGCTTGCTCACAATCCCCCCCCGCACAAGGACTATGTTAGTGACTTAGCTTCAAAAGGAGCATGGAAGAAGGAAGTGAGTAATTGGTTCAAGCCCCCAAGAACTCCCCTCAGTGCCCTAGCCACTGAGTTACAGGGCAAAAGAGAAGACAAATGCACACCTGTCATTAGGTCTATCCTAAAAACTTCAAGAATAAAATTATACACACATACCCTAGGACATGTTTACATATTAGGAGCCTGCTGTGACTACATGCAATAAACACCCCACATGGTGGGAATATTTGCAGCAAATAATGTTAACTAGATAGGTAAATCAAATCAGTGAACACTACTCAACAACTGGCTTGGGGCATGCACTGTGAAGTGAGAACCCCCAGGTAATCCATATGTGCACACTCTGCACTGCAACAGAAAATTCCTACCAACCTCCACACAATATTCCCAGCTGGATCCTGTACTTAAAATCACTTAAAAGGGATCACCACTCCTAAATATCCCATGCCCTTTACAGATTTCCTAAATGTGTCTGCAGAGAAATGAAAGGGGAGAGCAGACCAAGAACTAGAAGAAGATAAGGAAACTATTTATAACAGTGGTACTCACAGTTTTGGACTCATGGACCAAATGAATGGTTCAAAGTCAGTCTATGGGCTGGATAAGGCCCTGTGCTGTGTCTGCCTAGTCAAAATTAGGTTCTGTATCCCCTGCACTGCCTTTGCCCAGCCAGGATCTAGCTTACAAGGCCACAGTCTGCGAGGTTCCCCACACATCCATGGGGAGCCCCACAAGCCAGATGACATGGCACCAGGGGCCATAACCAACAGGCAGGAGTTGAGCACCCCTGATATATATGGCTGCTGCCAGCCAAAATAAGGTTATGTACAAATACTGCAAGATACAGAAGGTAGTCTGTGGTGGGGGAATGGCTTCACTGTAAGTAAATTTCCCTTCTCAAAAGCAGAAACCTAATAGTTTTAAACTTAAAAAAATACAATTTCTTCAACAATATTCTAAATGAAATCTCAGTGAGAACCCTGAGTTATTATAACTGGGAATGTAAACCAGGATGTCTATATACAGTGGCATAAAGTTGGTACAGATATGGCTGACTTGTAGAATTGCAAGTGATGACAGACCCTCAATACGAGGAAGACAATTTGCCAGTAAATAAAGAAGACATTGGTGAGCATATAAATTACTTAGGCCAATCCAAGATCCATGTGTTTGACCAGAGTCAAACTTGAAAAATAAATTTACAGGGCATTTAAGCTAGTGAAATGCAAGTTAGACATGGTTGGTGATGTATACAGACCATGGGCAACTGGTACCTCCTGATACTGGGAGGGCACCAACGGACCGACTGCCAACCCGGGGGGCGGAGGGTCCCCCAGCAACCGATTCAAAACCAGAAATGCCATTGGCAAACCTGGAGGGGAGGAGCATATGGCACTGGCCAGGTCGCAGCAGGCCTGCTGAGTATGATGGTGTAGAGGGGGTTAAACACCTACCTTGGCCTGCACAGACCCTAGATAGGGTGGGGCAGGGAGGCAGGAAGCAGCAGCCCCTGCTAGGCTTTTTCCCTGCTCCCCACTGGAGAGGAGTGCAGGAGGGGGCTAAGGCTAGACCCAGGCCTGGGCCAGCATGCTGAGGTGGAGGGAATGGAGGGGTGTTTAAATCCCCTCCCCCACCTGCATGGGACCAACTCCACTTCAGTGGCGAGTGGGGGAAAAGCCTCCGAGTAGTTGCTGGCTGGGGTCCAGAGCTGGGTTTCCCACTCCCTTCTCAGACAGCCGGAGCAACGATAGTGCTGTAAGTAGAGAGCAGAGGGGCAGAGCCAACTCTGCTCTATTGGAGCAGACAGCCCAGCCCAGGGCTGCAAAGCATCCTGGGATGCTGGGGGACTGCGAGTTAACTTGAACCAGGAAGGGGTCTGGGACAAAAGTTCCATAAACTGGTTTGACCTAAATCAGTTAAGTCTGATTCTACATTCAGCCAGGTTTATCTTAAACTAGTTTCAGCCATTTTGAAAGCAGTTTATGTGCAGGTTAAACTGCTCGTAATTTCTGTGCAGGTTAAACTATGTGCAGGTTAAACTGCACATTGTTTTGTGACAGGTTTAAACCAGTTTCTGATCACTTAAACTGGTTTATGTGTAACTTCTGTCCCTAGCACAAAGGTTCTGAACAGAATAGAAATGACATGCCTATCCCAGTATTTTTGAACAAATGACTGATAGCAGAAGGACTGTGAGGTGGTACATGCCCACTGGAAGCAATCCTGGCCCCCACAAGATGCCACTTGTTTGCACCTGATGGACTCAAAATAAAAAGGACTGGGAGGGCCACTATCTGCACTCTATTTAAACACCACTATTCTGAAAATTGTTTTTGCAGTTTTCATTCATTCCTATGGCCCATAACTGTCACCAACCAAAAGAATCTTTTTTAATTATGATTTTCTAGTAAAATGTACATGTTGAAGGCTAGAGATTCAAGTAATTTTAAGTACTTTTTTTTGGGCGGGGGGCTGGACTCGAAGATCTTCTGAGGTCTCTTCCAGCCCTAACATCTATGAAATCTATGAAATAACTTTATTTCAAACCCCGAAGTGTTTAATATCTTGCAGAACATCTAATTTACATCTGTGTATTTTGCATGCTTACACACATGCACGTGCATGCACTCACACAGGTTGATAATGTAGCTAAAGTGGACCTACATCTATGAGCATCTATTAGCTAGGTACAGCAATACTAGTATCCTTGACAAACAGAAAGAAATTGCATGCCATGGTACTGTTAACAATTCCATTTCTATTCTGTTTTCTAAATCTTTTCCAGCTCATCTGATCCATCCATCTAGAAGCCAAGAACCTGTATGAGCTGGTTATAGTTGTTGCTTCCACTAATGTATTTATGTCATGTTGCTGTCTGTGGGTGTTACTTAGGCAAATTAGCAAATTACTCTAAATGTACAGTTACATTTATTATAGTGGCAATCCGAAGCACTGCAGTAGTTACAGGTCTGTCAGCTTTTCAATTAACAACTCTGTTTTTGATGAGTTTGCAGCTCAGTTTTTTTATTTTCATTCCACACCCGGCTAGTACTTGCTACATTTATTTTCTCCTTTCATCCCAGCAAAACTCTCTTCTTATTTAGATTAGGACATGACTAAAATAGCTAATTTTTGCTGTTTTCACACACTTTGGTTGACCTTACAAATCCTGTTCCTACCATGATTTACAGACAATCTTAAATTTTCGTGCTACCTACTCTTAGTGCATACTGTGAAGCACGTGAAGAATCAGGGCCTAGTTTGTATAGAAGATCCTGACTGTATAAAAGAAGAATGTTGGTAGGTTTAGTATAGAGGATGAAGCAATGAGATTGACTGATTTTGATATATATATATATATATATATAGGAATGCCTACAGGATCTGTGCAAGAACAGATATGAGTGTGCTGCTGAGTGGAGTGTTCCTTTCTGCCCTAACTCTAACATGTTATAACAGTAATGCTAAGTTTAGGGCAAATGTAGAGGCCTTCCTGGTGCTGAATATTGTACACACTACTCTGCCTGATCCTCCTACTTCTGAGGTAGTGGTAAAATTCCCTTTATTTTTATTATGTACAGAATAAGGCACTGAGCCAAAACCCATAAAGTGCTCTCTGCCTTTTAAATACCCTGCCTTGCAGGACTATGATCTTAGAAAACAAAAATAACTAATTTTTGTCACAAATTTCCCTGTTAACCAATAAATTAAATCAGCAACTTTCTAACCTATACACATCTCATACTGAAATTAGTCTGAAGGAAGCTCTTTCAAATGTTTTAATATAATTCTTATTATTTTTCTTAACCATTTTTATTTAAAAAACATATTTCATAGTTTCATAGATTTAGGGTCGGAAGGGACCTAGTAGATCTTCTAGCCCGACCCCCCGCCAGGGCGGGAGAACAACAAAACCCCAAAACAAGAAACGGGACTCATTTGAGTCCAGCCAGGTAGGCATCCAGCCTCTTCTTAAAGACCCCCAGGTTAGGGGCCAGCACCACTTCCCTTGGAAGTTGGTTCCAGCTCCTAGCCGCCCTAACTGTGAAGTAGTTTTTGCGGATGTCCAATCTATACCTCCTCTCCATCAACTTGTGCCCATTACTCCTTGTTATGCCA